GTCTCTAATCGAGCTTTCGTGTCTGCTGTACTTAGATGGCGGTATGATGGCTGAGCGGATGACTACCTCGGGGCTTCGTACGGTGATTAGGAAAGTTACCATGTGCCTGAGAATCTGAGACCGAAGCCTGCGCTTGAGCTTGTACTCACGCTTGTCGACCAACTCCTCCGCATCCAACCCTCCGACGCGATGCTGTCCTCCCCTCTCGACCCCACCCTCGCCGTCGTCGCGCTTCGTCCTCCCAACCACCCCCGACCTCTCCTGCCAACTCCACCTACCTCTATACAACCTGCCCACCCCAGTACCTCCGCTCCCCTCATATCTCGTTGCTGTTGTAATCCTCAATTAATGCACAAGTAACGCTAACTACGCAAACTCACTAACTTCGTACACACATCGAAGGACGGCGCGCAGACGACGGAAGCTGAGAGGACGCCCTTGGTTTTCAGGCGGACAGGGAAACCGGGCGATATACGCGGCGGAGTCGTAGAAGATCGGATTAGGTTATCTATCTGAGCGTGCAAATGTCGGCTGCGTTGTTTAGATCTCGTACAGATTAGGAAGCACTGCGCGTGGATTCTAGAGACGTATTTTCTCGCGTTAGTTGAGATATTTCGATCCTTTGCAAACGAGAAGAGAAATCTTATTTTTAACTAGCATATAAAAATATAAGGTCGATGTTAATCGTATAAAAAGATCTTATTTTTAAGATACTTTTGTCTGAATACTAAAGAAGATTAACATTTAATAGATATATAATATTTATATTTTATATTAATAAGACTAGTGCTATTGTGATAATTTAATTCATTCAATTAATTGTAACTCTTCTTATACGCACATAATAGATTAAACAGATATTTACATCTAATGAATGATCAATATATATGATTCTAAATAAATATATGGTTGAAGGTTTCTTCAACTTTGGATTCCGAAATAAATTGTATTCCATACATTACCACAATATCACTTTTAGGAAAATATCTATTAATAGGTTCATGTCATTAAATAAAGCGAACGTCTAAAGTGTGGGCCGAATTACTCGACATGCAATAGATATTTGCACGCGTGAACGCACGAACACGTTCGATAAATTCCGATCAGCCATAGTCCAGCGAGACCCTATCCGCGAAAGAGATAAACAAACTAACGGACAGGTAGAGGGCGAGAGAGAGAGAGAGAGAGAGAGAGAGAGAGAGAGCGAGAAACGCGCGTTACGTATAAACGGGTGGGACACGGCGGGAGAAACGACGGCGGGAATTCAACCATGGACAACTAACTCGCTGATTAACCAAATACCGGTCTGCAGGACAAACGGTCGAGCAAACATTGAACAACCTGTCAGCGGCACGCCACGGGGGATCAAAGTTCAAGGGATAAGCGAAAAGCGGGTTTTTTTTTTCCAACGAGGTCGTTTCCATCCCCCCTGCGCGTCGCCCGGCGCGTCGTCGGAATGATTTTCGACGGGCCGGGCGCGGCGTTCCTGTCGGGAAATTTGCACGCTACAGCGCGTCGTTCGCAGGAATTATTCGTTGATAATCAGAGCGTATCGTGAGCGCGGCACGCGTCAGCGGATATCGTCGCTTCCGAGAGCAAATACGCGCGCGGCTGCGCCCGAATTTACGGTGCGGCGCGATGACGAAGGCGGTAACGGCGCGTACGGTGCATCATCCATTACATAATATCGCGCAATATGTAGGATATCTTTATCTCTTTCTCGCGAACACGTGCGACCGATGTTCGTGCGAGAGATCGTCCGGTCGTTCTGCTCGATAAATGTTCGACTACGACGCATTTGTGAACTATGAAAAGAGAGTCTTGCGGATGCATACCTACGTTAGTACCGATAACGTTATCACCAATAACGAGAATTATATGTCGTATAACAAAATTGACAAGAGCAATTTCGTACAGAGTGTAAAGTCCGATCGATTTGAATATCTAGTGTAGATATCATTTATTATTATTTATAAAATCAGAACTTAAAATCGGAACTTAAAATGTTTTAAATTCTAGGAATTCTTCGTCGTAGTTCTTTCGTTTGTTAACGGAAAAAATTCATATCCATGAAAAATATTCCGAGAAGTCTCCAATATTTTTTAAATAGCAACAAAGAATTATTGTAATTCATTATTCATACAAGAGAATTTGTATCATTTTGTTAGCGATTTCCAGTCCAGTCGATTTGAATATCTAGTATAAATGTTATTTATCAATAGAGTCAGAATAGAGAGCTTAAGTGTTTTAAATTATACATATACTGCAAAAATTATGTTATATCAACATTATTTTAGTTAAAAATAATTTTGTCAATTCACATAACACTATTAATGACACAAATAAAATTCTATTAAAACTAGAGTATGATATATTTGTTTCATTAATAGTATTATGACTTAATAACATAAATTTCATTTAAAATAATGCTCTTGATATAACAATTTTTTCAGGAATTCATTGTAACAATTTCGTTTGTCGAAGAAAAAAAATCTCCAATATTTTCGAAATATATCAACAAAGGATTATCGTAATTCATTATTCACACAAGAGAATATATCATTTTGTTAGCAATTTCAAATCCTCTGATTAATGCCATATCAGAGAATATTGATCCACGAGCAAGGGGCAGTTTCCTCTGGATTTGCGTCGCTTTCCAGCTAATTGCTCTGGAGGATTTAGTCATCGATGATTTCGTAATGTAAGATAGGTATTATGGGTCGATGTGCGTTCCCCGTTTAACAACAGATGGCCCGTGAACCTCCGATTTGACCCGCCGCCGATCGTTCCTCGCGGTCTGCGACTTCAAACGCGTCACCCTGATCGCGGCTTAGCCAAGGATTTCGCAACTCCACCACGACCCATCTGGCCTTGCGGTCCTGGTACGGAGAAATGATTGGAACCGAGGGTTATTTCACCACGGATCATCGACCGTAATCGCTGCACCAGAATCATGAATGTAACGGAGCCATCCTGATGGGGTCTCCGATCGGATCCGTGTAAGCCTTTAGTGCTGCTATCACGAACATCGATTAGGATAATAGCAGCGGTAATATTGACACTACTTTATTACCCGCCGTTGAATTTCATGGAAAACTGCGAGGTCTCAATTTGACGAACGTGACGCGAAAATGTAGCTCTTGGTTCTCGGGAATTGGTCCGCTTACGGAATTAACGGAATTAACGGAATTAACGGAATATTCGTAAAATATATATTTACAATCTATTCAGAAATATTTAAATTTGCTTTTGTGTATCACACATTCACGATATTATAAAAGCTGCACTAAAAATTTTTATCTATATTTTTAGTAAATAATAAATATTTCCACATTCGCATGATAGGACAATGAAACATATATATGATAAAATGAGAACAATTGCGACATACGAGTTTATCTTTAACCCGAAATTATATCAGCACGGGGGCTTAAAATTTAAAATACATTACTTACTATTCTGAAACTAATTTTCACAAACTAATTTCGGACAGTTATAACAGAAACCTATAAAACCTATAAAAAAAAATTAGTTAAATATTTGATGACGTGGCTCTTAAATGTATACCTCACCCTTCATACGCGCGCATTTGCAACGCTTCGGCATGTTCTGTATGCGGTACCGAAAACGCGTTATGACGGTGAGGGTTGCTCGCCACCATCTACTAGAGCGATCAGGCTTGTTTGTAAACCGTTAGGGAAGCCTCGCGCGCGGACTTGGTATTTCGAGAAAGCCCCGTGAAAACATTTCGCGTGAATGCATTACCATATTTGCTTCGACGAGCATATGAACGGCGCGTGCACGTAGACACGCGCATACGTGATAGGATTGCCGCAATGCCGCATGGCTTTCTGTTTACAGTTGACGCAACGCGACGCGGCTGCGGCGCAGCCGGCGACAGCCTGGATTTCCGTTCGCAAATAAAATAAAAATAGATTAATGCAAAAATAAATAAGTGCGGGAGAGGCGAGGGTATGCTAGCCCGATGGTGGCGTGTTGTAGACTGGCACACGAAATTTTCATGTTGGAAATACTGACCATTGAACGATCAAACGATCGCGCTAGAAATGTGCAAATACAGATAAAAAGGGTTGCTAGAATATAAGATTGTTAAAACAGAGGTACAAAAGATACGTAGGTATATACTGCAGAAAGGGGAGTTTAAAGGATACAACCCTCCCCGAAATTTTTTATTTACTTTTTCATTTTTAATATATTTTATAATAAAATATACAACTTTACTTTTGACTCTGAGTAAATTTTTTGTCACGTAAACCCTCGTTTATTTCTCCTCGTTACTATCATGTAATTTTGGGAAGCTTTAACTTCCGTTAGAGCTTTGACAAAGTGTCTGATATAAAAAAAAATTTTCACAAAGTTTCTGTGTCGAAAAATAGAACATGTGTTGGCATATTTATGACTAAAACAATTACACATTTCGTTCGTAATAATTGTATTTTACCTACTTTCTTTAAGAAAAAAAATAAAAAAAAATTAAAGTTACAATTTATAAAATAGTTTTCTCTTTCAAAATAAACAAGAAAGGATCATTCAAAACTCTAAAATATCCAAAAAGTAATTTATGCAAAAAATTGCTATTTATGTATGTGGTAGAATTGATTCCTTCCCACCCCTGGAAAAAATCCTGGATACACTCATAAATATTAGAAAAAATTAAGAATTAAGAAAAAAAATAAAATTATAGAAACGAGCAACGTCTTTTTAAAATGCTTATGAAGGATTCGCAATATTATTCTCTTGTATAAAAATTATTATATCAAGAAAAAATAAAGGACACATACGATTATATGCATATTTATATAAATGCACAAATAAAAACACATTTTTTTCCTTCTCATGTTAATTGCATTAAATAGAATTGCATTGAATACTTCAATATACTGAAAAGCGCTAATCGATATTAACATGATGAAAACTTGTAACGCAGGAAATCCGACGTTATCGTAGATAGTTGTGTTTCTAAATTAGACATTACTTACTGCGGCAATTATGTTGTATACACATAGCGCGGTGATTTCCCTACTGATTTCACAACGAACTTTGTATGAAGGGACCCAGTTCCACGAGAAATCTGAAATGTAAAATTGTATTTTCTGTTATACACAATTTCTAGTATTTCAGATCTTTATAGTATTATTCCGCGATATGAATAACATTGACATTCTATTGCGTTTATTTAATAATATTTAACGTAACATCATCAATGTATAATAACGAGGCTAAAATATTATTAAGTGTGCATGCAAGCGTGCTTCTCGCTGCATGCCACAAACTTTAGAGAGCGTTATTCTATTCAGACCGATCTTCTATGAAACTTATGGTTGTATACAGTATTAGATTTTTCGCTTATGCATACTTATTTTTATAACTTTGAAACAGAAAAAGGATATAAGTAAAATTTACAATCTTTCAAGAAAGCACGTAATTCACGAATTGCGTACAACTATGACATAATTCAATTAAAGTAAAATATTTAACGTATATTTAACATATGTAGATATTTTTTAAGAAATTTGTAACATTTAATTTTACTATGTTCATATCATATATGTAAAAGATTGCTATTTGATTAAACTGCGCGTAAAATATAATTGCTATATGACTAGAAATTCAATTACTAATACAATTTCGGAAAAAGTAATCTATTCAAATTTTTTTCTGCCACTTATCTTTTCGAGCGACGCGCAATCGTGCTTAATAACATTGTGATTTTTCACAACTAATAAACCGTATGGTACGCGGATACGTAAAACACTCTCTAAAACGTTAAACGTAATGTAATTTTGCACTTGGTCGTGTTCTGCGCGAAACAAATTAGCCGCCAAACGTTGAAATTTTATCTCTGATGAAATGGTCGTGTTTACAGCCGCGAGCTGCAAAATTGACAGGCATCCTCCGAAGCATATTATGCCGTCGTATTCGCGTATAGCATTCACTCTCGGACCGCACGATCGGCCCAAAAGCGACCATTGTGCCGATGAGAGGGAGAGCGAGTTGCAAAAAAAGGAGTTATACAATTGGTAATCAGGCCGCCATTGACGGATGAAATGATATCTGAATGCCCGAAATTAGCGTCAGCGAGCTGTGATAATTGGATGGTGATGTATGCTCCGAATGCGTACACTGCGAACGCTCGCGCCGACGCTGATTTGCTGTGCGTGTTTCCGCTCGTCAAAGGGTTAAATGCGTGTAAATGTCCGCACTCCTGGCTCGTGTGATCGCATCATGGCGGTACATATTCCGATACACACGGAGACAGCAGACGACAGCGGTTTTCCATCGATGACTATACTTCCTTCCGTTGTGCCGCCGCCGCCGCCGCTGCCGCCGGCGGGAAATAAATCGACGCCATCGGCACGCGATACAGTCATCATTATGTTGTGAATGATTTTAATGAACATACCGTATAATTGTAATCAATTCTTGATGTAACTATCCAACTAATCTCCGAAATGTTACGAAACTTTCTGCGAGTTATTAAAAATGTTTAATTATTTAATTTACTTTTCAATTGTAAATAACATTACTTTTCGAAAAATAGTTGCTATTTGTAAAATTTTAAAAATTAACTAGTAAATAAAAAACATTATTGTATTAGTTAATGCACTTGTGTTGTTGCTGCAAATTTGTTTACCTCGAATTTATCAAGTTTACTATCGGAGCAATATTGTGCTAGATACAATTGAAGAATGTTTGTGGAATGTACACATATACTATTTTGTATTTTGTGTGAAAATATTTTTTCTAAAAAAATAACGTGATGTACATCGTAATTCTTTTGTTGTAAAAATTGATATAACACCGGTCTAGGTCAATTACTCATTAGTTCACGGTATCCAACGATTTTTAACAATCGAACACTCGAAATAAAAGTATCCATCGGTGGAAATCGAGCGCAAAATGCAACAAGCATTACAAAAAGAAGGTTAATGCTATGGGTCGTTGCAAAGCATTCGATATATAGGTTTAGTAATACAGTAAATAGTCTCTTTGTCGAGCGAAGAAAGGTATCGATTTGCAGCTTTATAGCCGGGCAACCGCGTCTCGTTCTTGAAAGAACGTTTAGAAGATAACGAGGGAAGCTATAGAACGAATAGAAAAGGAATTAATGTAACGCGCAATATAGAGAGAACGTAATTTATTTATAATACCTTACGAGGTCAATTATACTCACCTTCCACTTCTACGAAGCGAGTACCTCGAAGATGAGATTTAAATAATAATGAACGAGTTTCTAAATGAAATATGATACGAATAATTTATCAACTTTTTTTTTATCTTTTTATTCTGGTTCCTGAATTTGAATTTGATGAAACAAATTGAATGTTAAATACATAAAGCAATTTTTCCTCAACATGATTTAATTTAAAAGAAAAATGTGTATACAGTTCTCATGACAATTTTTTACACCCTCAACAACTTTCTACTGCTCGACTAAACAGCTTTTTTTTTTTATCTCTACGGTATACCGCGTCATACATTTTCTGCGGAGTGGCGTGCGGCAGCTTCCACTTTTTTCTTGTTATCCCGTCTCCCGTTTCCTCTTTCCTGCCTCCACGTTCTAATAGCAATACAAGGAGGTTCG